GGTTCACAGGCGCTAAGACCGTGGGCCACTGTCGGCCATGGACTCACTGGCCGCCTGTGGGTAGACAAGCCCATTATGCTCTGGTGCGTGGCAGGCTTGCCTACCTCGGCATTGCAGGCGCTTTGCCACGCGTGGTTAATGTCTCTTGTTCCTCTCGGCAGCTCACCTCCGACCGGGACGCCGTCGCCTTCGTGTCTCCACCGCGCTCGCCGCCGCGGTCCTTCCTCGCGGCTACCCTCCCCGATGTTGTCACCGTCACGAGGTCGGGGGTCCTGGGCGTGCACAAATGGCTACCCTCCGACGAGCACTCGCCCTGAAGGTTCTCCATTGAAGTCAACCCTTCAATCACCAACCCAAAGTGCGTAAGAAAAAGTTGTGTTGCAAAACAATGGGTGCCGTCGTAAAACGTCTTTCGATCGCAATCGACGCAATCGACGCAATCGACGCAATCGACGCAATCCCTTTCCCTCCCCCTTTATCCCCCTTTATCCCCCTTTATCCCCCTAGTAATCACAACGTTACATTTTTTTACCTTGTGCTGTTGTGTTATTATGACTTAATCTTATTACAGTAAGGAGTGTGAAAACTTGACCTGCCTGGGCGCGCAGATGAGGTCTTTGCTGTTGACTGGGCCCCAGATGGAATGCGAGTGGCATCTGGTGGAAAGGATAAAGTGCTCAAATTGTTAGTAAGTTTACTTTAGATTATCATGACTTTACCAATTGAAAGTGCAGTTAATTTGTTTGTTTATCTTAATCTCTTAATCTTCTTTCCAGGTGGCAAAATTGACAAGATATTATGAAACCTATGGTAAATAATAATTTGTTATCTTAAAATATAGAACAATGCTGGAAGACTTAATAAACTTGGGTACTAAGTAAAGGCACTTTTAATATCTCAATTCTTATAACTCCCCTTACAATACAAAAAAACATAATGTACATGCAAGAAATTTTTATTGACGGAATCACGATCAATTTTTAAAATGTTAGATCTAGTTCAAACGATGGTCTTCTAAATTGAGTTGCTGTCTTAAAACTCCTTCAAGCAGCCATTCCGGTGACACAATTGGAATTTTTTTAGTATATTTGGTCTTTGTGGTTTTATCTTCAACACATGAAATAGCTTTGCTATCTGCTGGCCAAGCTGATCGAGCTATTGGCAAAATAACTCCACCACAGCTAGTGACAATTGCTAAAAAGTTGAAAATGAATAAAAGAAAGGATAAAAAGGAATAAAGACAAATTTCAAAAACTTTCAGAACAAACATCTGCAAACTAAGTATTGTACCTTTGATTTCTTCAGGTATTGGTTTCACATTTTTTGTGACATATATGTGGTATCCTTGCAAAATTGGATTCTGTCCAGATTTCTTAAGGGATTCGCTCAGATTAGCATTGAATTTCATTTCTGACTCTTGGTCAGTAAGAATGTGTTCCCATGGGTCTAAAATAAAATTGTCATTAAGTAGGTAATAGAAACAGAACTTTTACCTCACAATATCTCAACAGATGTGTTGGTCCTCCCACGCATCTCATCGTTAAAATAATTTTAGCACCACTATCACAACTCATACACAGTTCAATCAATAAGAGTCAGGCTGTTCTAATTCAGCTACAATGTGGGGTACGGCATCTTTTCACTGCCTAATGCAAAGTGCTTGTGCTTCATTTTACCTGTTGGAGAACACTCCGGTGCCCTCGAAAGTGCTGGCAAAATTACGTCCCGTGTAAAAAAAAATAGCAGCATAATTTGCTGTCTATAACAAAAATTCTTTTAGACAGAGCATGTAGCATTAAAAAACGTGTATGACATAATGACAAGAGGAAAAGAAAGAAAAAGATATTTGCAGGTGTAATCACACAGAGAAGGTAATGGGACGTACAGCGGGGCCAGTAGCCCGTTCGCATATGCTATCGCGGTGCTTTAAATCAGGACGCCCGCCCCGGGCGCCGTCCGGACCGCCACCCGGGCACGGCTGGGGCCGGACCGCATCGCCACTTTTTGCCACGAGCGCGCGCTGGGGTGTGCGCCATGCCATCGCCCGGCCGTCGCACCAAAACTTTTTCCGTTAATCAGAACGCCGGAGCCGATTGCCATTTTGCATAGCGGGGTCCGTGAAAGCACCAGGGCGCAGCGCCACACAGCAGCAGTAACCGTGTACCTTACGACTTTCCATCCGACTCGCGCTCAAGTGGTGGCGAGGGCGGGGCGCGCGGCAGGGACTAAAGGGCTGGGACTCTGCACCGAGCCAGACCGCAGCAGTCACCATGGGCGAAGGGCGAGAGGCAGTTAGCCCTACGCCCAGCGCCCGGGCCGGCGTCGCGAAGCGCTCACCCGACGGCCCCGCTCACACTTCCGGTCCGACCGGCTGTGTTCCGGATACGGAAGCGGGTACGACCGGCGTACTTTATGGATTGCTTTCCGATATCGGTCGGCGGCCTCAGCATCGCTTCCATGTCGTATTCACGTCAGCTCGGCCCGGAATGCTCGGCGCATCGCCCTCACTTTTCCAATCACTGCCTTCCCAGTGATGGCATGTCGCAGCGCCCGCCTCCCAGAGGGACTTTAATGAATAAAGGCGCCCTGCTCGCACGCGCGCCAAACTTTGTCCGGCGTGTCTGTCTCCTGGAGCACGCCGCTTGTCGAGCTGCGACGACCCCGGGGCAGGACCGTGCTCTCCTCCAACACCAAACTAAATTGTCACTCCACTGGGACAGAAAGGTGCTCAGTCTCAGCTCAACCGTGGGCCGACACTACGGGAGCACTCGTGCACAGCCAAAGCGAAGCCAGAGTGAGACTTCTAACACACAGCAAGGAGGCGATGTTTTGGTATTCTGCTCAGATGCTAAATCTCGACCACACGTTTTACCAAATGTTGCGGTAGTAGGGTGAATAGGAACACAACTGAGAGTCGGCGAGTGACTCATGTTGCTCCTGGAAGAACAACTTTCCATATAATTTGATGATTCCTGCGGAGAGCATCATTTTTTAAAGTCGCTCGTCGCTCATCTTTGCGACATTTTCAGCAGTAAATATCGCGCGTTTTGAATGATTTTTTCGAACATTGCTCTGCGACTTTTTCGGCTGTGCCAGGAGCCCCCTCCACTCAGTCGTTACAATTTCCACGTCTGGTTCCGCTCATGTTCGTGTCTATCACCGGCGCCGTCCACGGTCCGGCCACACTTCTGGGTCCTCCCTGGCGGGAGGAGTTGCCGCAGCGAGACTGGCGCCGTTACACACCCCCCCCCCCTCTCCCGTAGCAATAAGTCGTCAAAGAGGAGCGGCCCTCGCTGGGGTCTCATCCGTCTCGTAATCAAATATCTAGTTTTACGAGGACCCGATCTCGTCGCAATCCTGTTTTGTGTCTTTATTCAGCCTCGCTCCCCCCAGATGACCCCCCCCCCTCCCTTCTGTTCATTGGAGTACACCTTTCTCAACACGGCAGAGGACGGTGATGTGGGCAGCAAAGGTCGATCGCACCCGAGGTGGTGACTTCACCTCGGGGAGCCCAGCTCATCTCCCTTTGCCTCATGTCTCCTTTTCTCCCCGCGCCTCGTAAAGAAGGTTGCCGCCTCTCCTGTCGCCGTACTCTCCCCCCTCTTCCTCTCTTCCCGTCACCTTGTACTATTCCCTTTGTCCTTCACCGCTCCTGCAGCCAGACATCCTACCCTTTTTGCCTGCCCGCGCTCTGCATAGCGGTGGCGACGACTTCACTAAAATTTGGTTGGCGTCTATAAACGCCAAAGATATTGGCGTTCAAAGACACAAAATAATTATGTAAATTATTTACTTTAAATTGTGGTGTTGAAAGACGCCAAAAATTGGCATTAGACGCCTTTCAGGTTTCAGTATTTTCAAGAGACCTAACCGATATATTCATCGCGTTGTCAAAAATAAATTCTAAGACGATATTCCCCTCCCCTCTACAACACAACGATTGTACTGCATTCTATATTTTAGTAAGGTCAGCAAAAAGGAAAGATGCATAAAGCTTTTAAAGCTTCCGAGTAAAAACAGAAACCTTCGTTCAGATTGTGTGTGGTGTGATTTTTTGGTCAGCAGTGAACGAAATATGTATGCCGCCCGCGGCTTTGCGCACCTCCCTCCCCCCTCCCTTGAGCTTAGCCTCTCCCTGGCCATTCTCTCCCGCTCTGCCGCCCCTCTCTTCCGATCGGCTACTTGCGCGCGTTACCAGCCGCAGTTAGAGCCCGTAATATTATTATTGTTATGGGCGGTGCAAAGGACGTGTCGGTAAAATTTACGAGACTCCTTTGCTTCGCCTTACGGCCTTTCAGCCAGCAGTCTCATGGGGAGCTGGGCAGCACGGACTGAGGGCTCGGACACGCACCCGCCGCTACAGTTAAAAATATGTTTGCTTCTGACGTCCACATCCACAGTAGCGTAATCCTAAATGAAAAGTAAAATGTTGTACACATTTGTACTGGTGAAAGATTTGTCCTGACGTCCACATCCACAATAGCGTAATCCTAACTGAAAAGTAAAATGTTGTACACATTTGTACTGGTGAAAGATTTGTCTAAGTTGTTTTGTTCGATACGCTGGTGAGTTGCTTTAGTTACACGACGACTCTTTACGAAAGGAATTAAACTAGTCTATTAGCAAAGTAAATGGACTAGTATTAAAATTACGCTTTGCATATGCAGATTAGGAAAAATTTATAAAAAAAAATTATAGAAGACTGTTGTGCAAAGAGCAGTGTGCTCTGCAGTACGCGATTTTAAGCAGGTATCGATGGCAACGATGTTCATGGTAACACATGACTCGTGGTTAGTAGGTGTTAAGCACAAGGGCGATGGACGTCGCATAAGAGGGCGGCCCTAGAGCCTTTCCCCCGCCCACACCCCACTTCACACCTGCCCCATCGCCGCCGCCGCCGCATTGGGAGAATCTAGATGGATGGGCCCGGTAATATATAAGCCCGCTCTCAGGGGCCCGCCACGGGCCCTCCACGCCACGCTGCTGTTTGCCTATAACCCTCAAGTCCCGCAAGTAGTAAAATATAGAACAGGAGGCGGCGGGGTGGGAAGGAAGGGGCCGCATGGGCGAAAAAAAAAAAGAGAACACAATCCCCTACTTTGTCGTCCATATTTCAATAAGAAGGTGGGTAGGAAACGTTATGGAAAAGGTGTGAAAAAGACCGGCAGGTTGGGAAACAGAATTTACAGCAAGTTAGTAAGTGTTGTGAGCTCTTGCTCTTGGCTAAGAATGTAACCAGAACACAAGTCCCGATCCGAAAATAATTGTTCACTATTACTCTCTGAAAACTTAACAGTGTACATTGTATGCTGAAAAATCAGCAATCATTGATGATTGCTGACATATCAGTGTACATGTAATGGTTGAAGGGTTGCCTGTTAGGGCAGGAGAGGGGAGGGGGAGCTGAGGGGAGGAGATTATGGCAGAAACACTTTTAAATGTTCGCCTTTACTGTCAAACACTTTGTAGTATGCAAATATCAAGTCAAGAACTTAAAAGTGTGCAAATTAGTGTTGAGCACTTGCATGTGCACGCTAGTTGAACACTTAATTTTCCAGTGTAATACTCAAACACCCACTACGTCATCTGTTCAACTCACGTAAATTAGCAGTGACTAACAAGTCTATTTATTAGTGATGCAAACTAGCGAGTAATGTTTCAGATGAGGCCTATGAATTTAGTCAGGTGCAATAACGCTTAAAAGAACTTTCAAGTTCAAGACTCATATCAAGTTATCAACTTCTTTGGAACAGTAGGTCGACAACAGTATGCACGGGAGGCATGGACACATCCTTCCTCCGCGACTACCACTCTTATACTGGCAAGATCGTGGGCTCCAGCAGCAGAGTGTGCAATGCAGACGTGACCTCGGGTACCCCAGACGTCCCGGGGCCGCCCCATCTCTGCATTTAAAGTGCGCCGGTCAAGGGTTTGGCGCCAGCGCCTGGCCAGGGTTTCCTAGGGAGGAAAACTGGAAGAGCAGCTTTGCGGCCTGGTCATGGGGATTATAGCATCATTTTGTTGTGTTTTTTTTAAGATGTGCACGATAACTTGGTTCCTCGAGACGGCAGAAACCCGGTAGGTCCTTTCACTTGAACTATATCAGGGCGCGGCCGGATGTTGGGCACTGGCTCGGCCTCCGGGCCGCCGCCTCATAGGCACAGGGCCTTGTCCTGCCCGCTCCAGGTTCAGCCTTCCCCTCTGGGACTAGACTCTTCCCTCCACCTCCTCCCCGGGGGTCTGCACCGACAAGCGGAATGGAATCTATGGAGCATCGTTAGAGGGGCGCTTGTGAAAGATCAGGGTGCCGCTAGGGGGCGCGTGTGTGAGTGCGCGTAGAGACGAGGGCAAAGCGGGGAGGGAGAGAAAATGGGGAGCGGGGGAAGAAGGCCCACGGTGCTCGTTTAAAACGGCCGAGCTACTGTCCGTGCCGGCTGAGCCCCGCCCCCGCTGGGCACAGCCCGGATTGCCTCCGTCCCGGTCTATCAGAGGCTCCACCGCTGTAAGCCAGCACGG